TGGCTAAGCAATGTGTCTGTCCCCCTGTTCACTTTTGGAAATGAGGAGAAAGTGGGTAAATGCATAAAGAGAGAAGGAGGGAATCACTGCAAAAGTGTTTGTGATGATTTAACAAGATTTCCTTTGTAGGTGGGAGTGGCTAGGAACTGTTGCAGAGATGCAGGTACACTCAGGAGGGGCAAGAGCAAGAACCCATCTCAAAACCTCAGTGGACCAGACAGGTTGCTGAAGTCCATATGGAACAATACCATAAAGTAGGAAATTTCATTCATGGGGGCTGCCCTGATGTGTGGTGAGTGGGAGGACAGAGCAGGAAGCACAAAAACTATTGCTATGGAAACATGATCCTCTGACTTGTATGCTCAGGTCAAAATCTGTGTGCCATGGAAACCACTGTTGTTTGTCATGACGTGAATTCATCCTATGTGTAACAAAGCCAACTTACAAATTTAAATTAGAAAGTCTGAGGTGGGAAAGAGCCCATCAACAGATAGTTTTCCCTACAGATAGTTTCCATACTACTTTTCATGTTGCATTGTATTGCCAGGAGTAGAAATATCAAAATAAGGGAGGCAAACTCAGAGGTGGTATAGAACCTTTTAGCAGGTAACAAACACCAAGAGATAGCTGAGGTAGGGATGAAAAGCACGTTGCAACTCTAGAAGTCAAGTAGAGACTCCTCTATAATTTAGAGGAAAATTAATCAAACCCAGAAAGTTTATAATGTCATAACATTATATAGTTGAAAGAGTCCTTGGAGATCATGTACCTCCTTTCCCCTCTTTCCTGCTTCTGTTAAGAACCTAAGAGGTGTGCAGAATCAGACCAAAGGCCTTGTCTTCCCACACTGGACAACCAGATGTTTCTGAGAGGCCCACAAGCTGGACATGAGCACAACAGCATCTTTCCACTCATATTCCCCAGGAGCTAGTAAAATATAGCCATCCTGACTAATAGCCATTAAATTTCATAAATTTATCTAATTCCCTTTTACAGCTGCCCATTGTTACATCTATAGCAACATTTACTATATGTAATATGATGAAGTCCTTCTTTCATCTAGCCTGAATTTTTCGACTTTGAACTTTGTTGCATGAACCTGAGTTCTATAGTATTATTATGGGACTGAAAATTATAAGATAAGTATTACTGTATACCATGCATACTTTTGTGTACCTATATCATATGCACCCTTACATATGCACCCTTTTTTTATTTTTGACTTAAATAGCCCAAACTCCATTCTAACAGGAGACTTATTCCAGCCACTTGATAATTTTGGTTGCCCCTTTATGCAGCTTTTTCAGCTCTACACTATCTGTTTTGTCTTTGGGAAACTAGATCTGTATGAAGCATTCCAAGTGTGGGTACACCATAGATTTCTATAAATGCATTATGGTATTGATAGTTTTATTTTCTGTTCCTTTTCTAATCCTTCACCAGTGTGGAATTTCCATTTCTCACAAGAGCATCTGTAAACCACATTGATATTGTCATTCAGTTAATCAACACAATGTCAATGCCCTTTTTCAGTCACAACCAGCTCAAACCCCATCAGCATATATGTAATGGATTTAAGGATTTTTGCCCCCATGTGCATCTCTTTATTCTTGCTTATGTTGAACCACACTTGACTTTGCCATTCCCTTGTTATGAAAAGATCACAATTTTTGGAAGTTTTCTCTGTGCCTTTTTGTTTTAACCATTCTAAATAATTTGATGTTAGCAGTGAACTGGCCACCAGATTGCTCATTCGAACTCCAGATCATTCATAGAGAAGTTTTTTAAATAGTCTCAGTAAAGATACTTGTGGGAAACAATTGATAACATCTCTCCAGTGTGATAACATACACTTTATTCCTGCTGTCTGCTTTTTATTCTTTAACCAGTTATCAATCCATTAGAGGTCATCGCTGTTTATTCCCTAACTGCAAAATTTGCTCAAGAGTCTTTGCTGAGAGACTGTGTCAGATATCCAAGTAGTTAATGTCTTCTGGGTCAACCTGTCCATAGGCTTGTTGACTCCCTCAAAGAACACTCTTTAGTGAGACAGAAATTATCTTTGGAGAGTCCTCCTCACTTGGACTTGCCCTACTATATACTTGATAGTTTTATCTTTAATAAAGCTTACTGGTTTATTATTTGCTGGATCCCTCTGGAACTATTTTTGTTTTGTTTTGAATCATTTTTAATATTAGCACTAGATCCGTCATTCTTTAGTGCCTTGGTACAGAAGATGCTCTTAATAAAATATGACATATTTTTGTTAGAAGTTAAATGACTTCACATTTGACTTCTCTAAATGCTCTCGGATGGATATTTGGACTGAACAATTTACTTCTTTTAAATTTGTCATTAAGTTGTTGAGCTGGAGTGAAGAACCTATTTTGGCCCAAGGGCCAAATTGGCTGCAGAGAAACACATAACGGGTGCAAAGCAATGGGGGGTGCCATTCCTAGTGAGCATGCCACAGCTGGCTTGCCCACATACCCCCATGCTCCCCCACTTGCTTGCACATACACAGAAACCCTGGGCTCTCTCACCTTTCCTGATTAGGGGAGGTAAGTGAGGAATGAAACTGCTTGAGTAATCCATATTATCAGCAATTAACTGTGTGAGACACTGCTGCCCATTCTTCCTTCTCTGAGAAGAGGATATTTCTTGGGAATATTTGCTCATGCCCTATTTTTACCTAGTCCTGGTTTGGGCAATTGAAACAGTTTTCACCCATTTGAATCCAAACTGGAAGTTCCCCACCTCTTTTTGGCTGCCATTTTCTGACTTTTTGTTCAAAGAGCAAAGTATTTAAGATGGTCTTTATTTTGTAACGCAATTTCCAGATAATGGAGGTGTCCTTAGTGGATGCGGACCTATCAGGCTGAGATTAGAACAGCAGTACTGAATGCTATAAACAATGCAGGCTACATGGCCCATGGTTACTGAGAGCATTTCTTCTCTCTGAGTGGGCATCAGTAAAACCACATGATAAGTTGATTTATCCTCTTCTGTTATAATATTGTCTTTAGTTTTATCAATTGTGCTCTTACACTACAGGATATTCCAGTTAAGATTCTGCATATCTTTTTGTCCTTTGTGGTATATTGCTGATAGCATATTTGCTTTGCATCCTCTGTTCTTTCACCCATTCTCCTGTGTAAAGTGCATTGCTTCCTGTGTTTGCATATGTTAAATTATGGCAGGGAAAATGAATCGTCTCTTGGGCTCTGTTGTCAACTGGCAAATTCTGCAATTCTAGATCTTTTTCTACTGGTGGAAAATGCTTGCTTTATTTGTTTTTTAAGATCTTAAATCTATTTTCTAGGATTATGTAAAAAGAAACTGTAGGCATCTCTGGAGAAACAATTTATAGCTGCATCATTCCATAAATGACTTGCTGTGAATGCTTGATTAACTTTTTCTTCTGAACAAATAGAACTGGAGCAAAGCCTCATTTACAGAATCTATCAGTTTGGGAACTCGCAGGAGAAATTATACTCTCTCCCATTCTGATCTAATAAATGTTGGTTTCATCAAAGGCAGTCATCAGTGTTTTGCACTGGAGCTCTTGAGCTGTCTACAGGGGCAACCCACAGTAATCTGAGGTCAGCAATAGATGATGTAGTGTACTCTGCAGTCACCACATTGTTAAACATGTTGCTCAGCAACCTGTGTTTTTCATATGCTCACCAAACTTTACCCTGTGCTGTTTAGAAACATAGAAACAGAAGCATAGCAAGTCAAAAGGGTCCTCCTGAACCATCTAGTCTGACCCTGCACAAGCTGGCTCCGCTCATATGTCCAACATGTGGGTGTCCAGTCTTTCCTTGAATACCTTCACTGATGGGTCCCCCATCAGCTCCTGTGAAAGCCCCATCACCTCCATATCCTAGGGGAAATACTTCCTGACATCCAACCTAAAACCCAGTTTTAGGATCACATCCTTCTCTCCAGCACAGGGAGAATAGGTCACGACCCTCTACCATGTGACAAACCTGTAAGTCACTATAAGATTCCCTCAGTCTCCTCCAAGCTGAAAAGTTTCAGTTTCCTCAATCTAATCTCATACGGCATCCTCCACCCCCAATTCAGCCACAATCCTTAATATTCTGCACTGAACTGATTCCAACCTTGCTATGTCCCTCTTGTAATGTGGAGCCCAGAAATGGACACAGTATTCCAGTTGTGGGTGTACCCGAGTCTTACAGAGTGGCACCAGCACCTCTCTCAATCTGGAATTTAACTAGCAAAACTTCATTTCTTGGTGAAGACATTAATTTATATTTTGCTTCCTATTGACTAGGAAGTGAGTGAATGGGACTTGCCTGGTTATTTGCTTGTTAGCAGAATAAAATGTTATGCATGAAACAAACATGAAGGCTGTTTGAGATTTAATGCTACAAATAGCATAATAAATACTATTTATTGCTGAATGCTGCTGTATCATAACTTTTCAGATTTAAATGCCTATACAACTTGAGTTACAGTGGCCAAGTCTTTTTTAATCAAGGGGTGGTCTGACATGTCAGTTGTGACAGCAGAAATACATTCCTCTCCAGAGCTTCCACCTGACTATTCAAGACCTCTTTCCATTGGAGTAGGAAACTCTGGGTTCAAAAAGTGGTTTTGTGTTGTGAGGATTAAATCCTACCACTGCTTTCTATTGAGGACAAGATAATAGGCTGCTAAATTCACAAGTTTGGCTGTAAAAGGGTGTTTTGAGACTGATCACAGTTTCTGATCACGTTACATTACCTGTTCTGTGAATGGGCACCACCTCCATGGCAACCATTGTGTTATGATGCTCATGAGCCTTTCTCAAAATTCCAAATATGCCCAGTTCCACAAAAACATTGGCATCCCTGTCCTGTAGTACTCACTCATGTATAACAGTTATGGATATTTTGTGAAATTGGGTAGTTTTCTCAGTTTTCTTTTAAAGGGAAATATATGTAAAAGAGTCAATGTTTTGGTTTTCATTATGCAATGTTTTGTGGTTTTAGGGACTTTGGAGGATAGCCAATCAACGCAGAGATGTACTGCAAAGTCCTCAACTTCAAGTGGAATACCTACTGCTGAAAAGAGTGCTCACTGTGGTACACAGTGTCCAAAACTGGCAATTCATACCACTGGAACTTCAGCACAGAAGCAACAAAATGGCTTAGGAAACATGGAGGTAGGAGATCCATGTGACTGATGGCACAAGGGGTACTCCACTGAAGATAGGCCCAATCCTATTTATATTCTTAAAAATAAAGAGAAAATATTTCTAGTTCAGTCACAGTGCTATTTCATCAATGAGCCATACTGTACTGTCTACAAAACTGGCATTTCCTTTTTACTCTCACAATTAGTACATTTCTCCTAGAGGAAAGCTCATAAAATGAGACTATTTTGGAATAATGGCATGTGTTAGCTGCTATTGCACTCATGTTCTGCTATGGGTTTCCTACAGCAGCTGGTTGGCCGTTGTATGAACTGAATGCTAGACCAGATGGACTCTTCATCATCAGATGGTCTTAATAAGGTTTAAAAAAGCATTTACTATATTTATTACTGCTTCACAAGGATGAGCATTCTTTAGTAGGCCAATCATGGACTACTCAATATTTTGTCTACATAGATGTTACATGCAGTATAAGGAGGCTGTGAGCCTTCCTTCATTCTTTTCCATGGGATGTGTCTGTCCCACCGTTAAGGCTGCTAAACCTCCACTATGAAGCTCATGAGTGATTTTGGGTCAGTCACTGACTCTTATCCTAACCTACCTCACAGGGTTGTTGTAAAGATAAAATAGAGAGGATTATGTAAGCCACCATGGATTCCTTGCAGAAAAAAGGGTGATATATAAAAATAATAAAATAAAATGAATTTCCCTTAACACACTTGATTCATGTTTTTATATTCTCAGGGAACTAACCCCACTGTTTACTGAGTGAGGGTCTGAATGTCACAGTGTTCTTAACTATTATCCTGGATTAATTAAGATCTATATATACAATATCTTTTGCCCTGTATAGTGTGAGGGAGTCCATGTCAGAAAGGTATCATGCAGGCAGGAAGAACTGACTCCTTCGCAAACATTCCTGACCATTTCCCCCAGGTACTTTTTGTCCTTGAAGTATTCATTGTAATAACTTGTATAAATCTCTCTCTCATGTTCTTTTTGATTTTTTAAACATTGAAAATCCCCAAATATATTAGAATTTCCTAGCTGGAAGGGTCCTCTGACTCCTTGATCATTTTGGTTGTCCTCTTTTCTGCACCATTTCTGGCTCCCTAATATCCTTTCTGAAATGGAATGACTAAAAGTGACAGAACCATAGATTTATGAAAGGGCATTATGATGCTGACCATCTTCAGCTGACCATGTTCAGTGCCATTCCTAATAATCCCAAGCATGAAGATCTTCTACATGAACTATTAGTTTGTTAAGACTTTGGAGAATAAGGATGAAGATTGGTAAGTTTCTTTGATCTTAGATTATAAAATTATTTTATCGATGTTTAGTTTTCTTACTGTCATTCTGTCTTGTATCTTTGTTTAAGAAATTCAATTTACAAAACCTATTTTAATAATTAAACCAATTCATTGTAAATTCTTTTTAAGCAGGCTAACTGGGACAACAAAAAAGCCACAAAAGACATCACAGTTAATTCCACCAAAACAATTAGACAAATTAATGGCAACAGAAGAATGACAAAGAACTGTGTCAATTAAGAGAGAAAAGAGGGTGAATGGACTCTGCAATATTTTGCTGCACTTTAACTGATTATTTAATGTGAAGATCAGAAGATGTTTTAGTTTCATGCTGAATGTGGTGGCCAGCTGCTGCTGAGTGCCTTTGGAAAAACAATTGACTGTCTTAGCTCTGTCACTGGATGCTTGGATACTTCTTGTTCTGTATAGCCCATTTGGGTGAGGCTGGCCTAGCAATTAGCACATACTGGTTTGATTTTTTACATTGTCACTTAAGTAATTTCATATCAATAAAAATGTAAATCAAAATATTCCAGAGATTCTCAAAATCATCCCTCAGAAATTGCATCTGTGACACCTAGTTCTAGGTACAAGGAGGGTGAAAGCTCATACGGTCATTCCATATGTGTCACTTTAATTCAATTTGCATATCAATTAGCATGTTAGAATCCCAATCCTAAAGATATTCACAGCGATTACTATGTATCACAGCGATTACTATGGATAGATCGGCACATTTACCTCACTAGCATGCTTGGTGAGTAATGTAATAGTGGTCTGACTTGTTCATGTGAGAGTTCCACAATTATTATACATAATGTGCTACTGCATAACATATTGGATGTCAAGGTTTATGTCAACACAGATAATTCTGTGGTCACTGGAAGGCACCCAAGGATATTGTAGCTCTGTCTTCCCACTTCTGTATCCCATAGGAGCTTTGCACTGTGTTGCACTTACTGCTGGCAAAGGTGCCTGCTCTTTTTTAGTAGAATCAGACCAACCAGCTAATAAGATACCGGCTTATAGGAGATGCACAACTCAAATAGTCATAAAGTTATTTACCACTTACTTGCTCGTATAAAAGGTTGCACTAGAGAGCCATAAAGTCTTCACACCAGTATCTTTTTATAAAACAAAGTCTAATTGAAAATGCAATTTGGAAGTGTCTGTTCATTTATTCATGAGAAGCATGCTCGTATATGTAGAACTGTGTTAAATGCATTACGTGCTTTTCCTTAGAAGGACATATGATAACTAATATATAAACTGCTTAAGGAATGGATGGCTTTAAAAGGGGACTGGACACATCCATGGAGGAGGAGGCTATCAATGGTTGCTTGCATTGCTGGCTATGTCTACCTGTTACCAGAGGCTACATGCCTACATAGACCAGTTACTGAGGAGCTTGGGCAGGTGGAGCTCTTGCATCCATCCTGCTTGAAGGATCCTGTGGACAGATGGTTTGCCATGGACCATTGGTCTAATCCAGCATGACTTTTCTTATGTCCTGATGAAGTCATTACAAAAATTGCTACTGCATATTTCAAACAGAACAAGTGAATTTTAGGGCCAGGAAACATGTGATAGTACTGCAGGAGGGGAAAGGTTAATTCTTTCTACAGGGTACTTTTCAGCTTTAAATGTCCATTTCTACAATTGCTATGTACCCTGCAATCGTACAGGTTTCTGTATTATTTCTGACCTGGAGCAGCAGGGAACAATGAGGGAGAGGGATGTTAGACAAAAGGGTGAAGTAGTGTGTTCTAGTTGCTTAAAATTATTCAGCAAATCAGTTTCATATATCTTTAATGACTTATGTGCAGGCATTTGTATAAATTTGCTATTGAAGTCTCATTGCAATGGAAGTGTCTAAACCTTAAAGGAGTAGAACTTTTTAAAAAGTTAACTAAATTATCTAGGTGATAACATGAAACGTATGATTCTTTTCAAAAAGGGGTTCTAATCAGTAAATTAAAATTTAAATTGAACATTTAAATGAACACGTTAGTAGTGTTCAGTGTTAAATGTGAATAACAGTTGACACAAAGAAAATATATCAAAATAGGGCATTTGAAACAATTTAAAACATAACTAGCAAAAACGGTTTCATCTTTTAAAGAAATTGAGATAGAAATTCACTGTTTGAAATCTATAAACACTTTCTAGATTTAATTATAACAGTTGGAAGCTTGTGTATAAAGTGAGGATAACCTTTGAATCAAATGGCTCTGTGGGCATTAATTAAGATCTGTCTGCTCCCAAGGTAATAGCTGTGTGTGTGTGTGTGTGTGTGTGTGTGTGTGTGTGTGTGTG